ACCAAAGTTATTCTGATGGTGATGATGATGAGAAGAACTTCTTGTTACTGCTAACATGTACAGATGCTAACATGTACAGATGCTAACATGTACAGATGCTAACATGTACAGATGCTAACATGTACAGATGCTAACATGTACAGATGCTAACATGTACAGATGCTAACATGTACAGATGTAAACATACTGCTGCTAACATGTACAGATGTAAACATACTGCTGCTAACATGTACAGATGTAAACATACTGCTGCTAACATGTACAGATGTAAACATACTGCTGCTAACATGTACAGATGTAAACATACTGCTGCCAATGTACAGATGTAAACATACTGCTGCTAACATGTACAGATGTAAACATACAGCTGCTAACATGTACAGATGTAAACATGTACAGATGCTAACATACTGCTGCTAACAAAAAAAGCATAAAGGATCTCTTATTCTAATCTTAAACCTTAACCTTTTTCCCACATAACTCCGTCATGTTGGATTTCTTCATAAAGTCAAGAAGGTCCAACAATATGGTTAGATTTAATTGACTTTATTAATTAAACTCAGCACGTTTTTTTCTCAGAGTGTGTCGTGTGTATTTTCAATCGTGAATCTTATTGAAATTAATGAGCAGAGCCAGAGCCTTTCTGAGAAGCTGAATGTGAAAGTTAAATATATCTGTAACGTGCTACGGCCGCGCCAATAAAGCTAGTATGTTTTTACTACAATATTAATTACCGAGATACAGAAAATGTTTTTTTCTGAGATCCATACAATGTTGGACCACAGTCGATAATAATTTCAGGTTTCAAGTGTACTAACTTTGAAATCACAAACAAAAATAAAAAAAATTTAATAAAAATTGTGTATCTCGTCCCTAACTGGTTTTTACTGCATGTATTTTTATATCAGCGTTTCCAGTGAAAACAACAGAGCACCCAATCAAAAACCGTGAATAATACTGAGAATGAAAACGTTTAAATAATTATTTCCATGAAAATAACCGTGAGACTAATTATCAAGAACAGACCCAGCCTGAATAAAAGACATTATTCTGTTCAGAGCCTGTTTTTAGCCACAATTTTAGCCTCTGTTTATAAACCGTATTTTTAGCTCAGGTTTTTATTGTTTTAAGGGATTTTATACTTTTACTTTTAATTCAGTGGTCATTTGAAACGCAAATCCAAACAGCCTCTTTTTCCCACATCCAACATATGTATATATATATTTTTTTCTTATTATTAAATTCATATATTAATTTAAATATAGAGAATTGTATGTGCTGTAAAGGTGTTTTGTGTGCGTCCTTCCCTTGTACAATCCCATTTGTCACATTTGAATCTTGCCTGCAAAGGGTTTTACTGAACGAAACAGCTTCATCAGATCAAACTTTGCGAGCTCCTCGGGGGTCTGAGTGAACAGAGCGTGATTACCAGGAGCAGGCAGAGCGAGGGCAGCAGATTAAACACCAAACAGCCTCAGCGGGCCCGAGCTCGGAGACTACAGGGTCTGTCCCGGTTCAAACAGAGACAGGTTGGAAGTCCACGTCTGAATCCCAATGAAACAATATCTGAACTTTGCAGGGATTGCATAATATTTTGGGTACATGAAATAAAATCTCCCTGCAGCAACCCCCGGAGAACTCCTGGATCTTTGAAGCAACTTTTTTTGTTTTTGTTTTGAACCTCCTCACTTGTCCACGTTCAAACCTGGACCTGGAACCTGCTTTTTGATCACATTGCCTTTTAGGATTATGCATCTTCACCCAGATTGAAGTTAAAACATGCTTTGATTTAGAAAGTTTCTGCGTGGTCCCTGCCAAATGAAGGAACACCGAGTCCACATGAAAATGGAAGAAACATTTTCTATCTGCAGTCGTCCAAACAAATTAGCATACGGCTGGAATTAGACCCAAAACATTCACTCGGTGGATCAGACTGATATGTTGAGAGATAGAATGTATTTTATGATGTTTCTGGCCTGTTTTATGCGTTTCAAGTGGTTTGCTGCATGAAATTCACTAGTAAGCTTTTTATTTATATACCGCCTTTTCACTGCACATCGGAGTCTCAAAGCGGTTTACAATTGTTGGGTGGGGGGTACCAGTACAGGAGGCGCATGCCAGACCTATTGTACATATTTTTAGTGGTAGGGGAAACCGGAGCACCCGGAGGAAACCTACGCAGACACGGGGAGAACATGCAAACTCCACTCAGAAAGGCCCTGGTCCAACCGGGATTCGAACCCAGGACCTTCTTACACTGAGGCTTGTGTTTTACATCCCACACATCAGATGGCTTCAATCAGAGGACGGGAAATGTGTTTACAAGATAAGATGAGATAAGATAGACCTTTTTTTGTCCCACAGTGGGGAAATTTAAATGTCATCGTTGCACACATATAAAATACAATGTTGGAAAAAAGAGTTTTCAGATTGCACACGTCAAACTGGATCTACTGTTTATTTGTGTTCCAATTTTTCACAATTGTATCTACTGTGGCTAATACAATCCATGAAAGAGTAGATAGATAGATACTTCATTGACCCCTGTAGGAGAAATTCAAATATCCACTAGCAGCAAACATAACAGATAAAAATGATCATTCTAAAAAGCTAACAATAGTAAAAAAATAAGCAACAGGTCCCAGCAGCAGAGGTGGAGTAGCCTCTGGGTGGATCAAGACAAGTCACAAGGTGGAGCAGCCGCTTGGTTCGGACTATTTTCTATGCTCTGGTCCAAAGTAAAATGTTAAATGCATCGTTAGCATTTTTCAAAAAGTTAGCATTCCTCCAGTGGATTTTTTCCTTATCCACTTGTTTTGGATTGTTTCGGCCCACGGTCCGTTATTCCCTATCGTGGGGATCACTGTAGTTTCTCCCGTGGTGTCGGTGTGTTTGTGTTCCCTCCCTTTACTGAAGACCACGCTCGTGAGTCCTGGGCTCGGGTTGGCCAGTCGTTCCCCACCTGGAGCTGATCGACTGCGATGCCTGGGTGCTGATTGGGCAGCAGCTGAGGCGGTCCTCCAATCAGCGAGCGCTCACCTGGAGGACCCGCCCTTATAAGCTGCCAATCTTCAGCAGCTGGAGTCAGTGTATTTAATGTTAAGACACTTTGGTTTCTATTAAACTTTTGGTTTTGTCATTGCTTACTCGTTTAATAGGTTATTTATTTACTCCGTGTGTTTTGTAGATGTTTAATCCTATTTTGTTACCAGTTTTAACTATTCTGTCATCCTAATAAATTATGATTTTAGGTACCATTCTAACATCTCGGTTATTTTGTTGCATCCAAGCTGAGCCAGGTTGTAACACCGACCATGAATCTGCTCCGCTCTTGTCTGGACCAGTGCAAAACCATAAACACTGTATTGCAGCAGCATACTAACATACTTTCTCAGGTAGAAAAAAGCATAAAAAAATAAATATATTGTAAAGCGCAAGACAACTGTTCCAGAGCTTCTTGGGACTTGCTGCCGTTTTCCAGCGCATTTAAAAGTGTAGGAAGAAGGTAAGAAAAGTTATTTACCATTATCTATTCGAGATAAGCTACACACAGGTGGCTGAGTGGATAGCACTCTCGCCTCTCAGCAAGAAGGTCCTGGGTTCGAATCCCGGTCGGACCAGGGCCTTTCTGAGTGGAGTTTGCATGTTCTCCCCGTGTCTGCGTAGGTTTCCTCCGGGTACTCCGGTTTCCCCTACCACTAAAAATATGTCCAATAGTGCCTCCTGTACTGGCGACCCCGCTCCCATCTCTGTGTGGAGTGAGAGACAAATGCCCAAAAATTAACAATTGTAAACCGCTTTGAGACTCAGATCTGCAGTGAAAAGGCGGTATATAAATAAAGATTACCTACAGAGATGGGAACGAGGTCGCCATACGGGAGGCGGATGCCAGATCGAATATGTTTTTAGTGGTAGGGGAAACCGGTGCACATGGAGGAAACCTACAACACAGGGATAGCATGCAAACTTCACACAGAAAGACATGGAAATGGAATCGAACCCAGAACCTTTTTGCTGCAATACACAAGTGCAAACTACTGCACCACTGTGTCACCCCAGAATGCTTCTTTAATGTAAGAATAAAAACACACAGGTTTTTTAATACAAAGTTAAATGCTCAAGCTCTGAAGCAAGTTTTTTTTCTTATATAACGGCTGGTTTTCTACTGTATCATTTGCAGAGCTATATTTCCCACAAGCTGCAAGTTATTTTAAGTGTATTTTTATCACTGCAATCATTGCGGTGGAGAATATTCAGAAAAGAGAATTAAGTTGAATGATTGCAGTCACACTTTTGTTCATTGATTTTCTTTCATAAGAGTTTGACACTAGAGTTTGCAATTCAGATGGGAATTATTATTCAATATTAATATACAATTTCCTTTGGTAAACACTTTGAATTTAAGGCAGGCACAAAACAAATTGCTTTGTAAATCAAACAGCGGAGAAGCCTTCAAATCAAACAATGAGCATGGGTAATAGATGTGGGTGTGTGTTCTGAAGTGTGTACCAGAGTATTTATGGACAAGACTGTTTAAGAACCAAGTCACACGAACCAGTACATCTAATTGTTCACACCCCTGTTATGGATTCTGTCATTCACATTATTATTAGAAAACAGTAACTTGAGCAAAAACTACAAAACGCATGTCAATTTTTTTGAGAAGGGCTCTTTCAGTGTGTATGAATCTGAAGTTCAAAAGTGAAAACATCCCTAACTTTTTGTGAGTAGTCTAGATGTGACCATTTGCAATTTAATGCTACAGGGGACCTTTCAAACCACAAAAAGTGCACATCTTAGATCTTTTTCAGACAGACAATTTCAAAAGAGAGGACGACCCGAACTCATCCAATCAGCTCTCAGTCCAAAGTGCCAACTAGTGCCTAAAGGCCAATTTATACTGCTCAATTAAGGACCATACGTAGCCGAGCGTGGCCCCGAGGGGTGTCCCTCCATAACCTCCGTCTACATGAAATACTTTTCTGCGGCTACGAGAGGCGATGGAGAAAAGAAAAGCTCAAAGAGACGAGCCTGCTCGAAAACCATGTTTGTCAACGAAAAGTGCACGTTATATTAACCTGTGCACAATGCTCCTGGACCTCAGCCTTTCACCGCTCCTGCACTGACTGCGAGGGGACGGCGTGCAGCCTGGAGATCAAAGACGACCAGGTGATCAGCGGGGGGTCTTTTGCATATCTGACACCTCCACAAAGACGTATGTGGTTCCAGAGGTGCATGAGGGATGAGGGATCCCTTTGCAGAATACTGCAACGGGATCCCTCATGCAAGCCCTCGTGCTTATTCAAACACGATACGTTTTAGAATAAGATGAAGACATTTAAAATGGCTGAGGTATTGTGTCGAAAAGCACGTGTCGGTTTAGCGTCTGATATCTGCTGTTTACTTTTTAATGAAAGATGATTTAGAACACACAAGGTTTTAGATTGTTGACAAAGTTTCGATGCAGTCCACATTCTGCCACTACATTATGGAGCGATAGTGCACCTTTTAAATGTATTTAAATCCAAAAACAGTGATAAAAAAGCACAAGAAGTGTGCGTTGTTGTTGCCGGAGCTTCACAACAGACACGTACCAGAAATAGGGAACTTATTCTGAATAATGCTTTAAACTGGAGTTATATAAATGTTAAACGTTACAGAGGAATACTGAGGACTCTGCTGTGAGTTTACAGCTTCACTTGAGGTGAGTGTTGTTTTGGCTGTTGCAGTCGTGTGTTTTATAGTTTTGCAGTTTTAGATCTCTTGAGATTCTCAACTGAATTTATTTAAGACTTTGACATTGATTAATGCATGGTGCATAAAACCCACAACCTTCAGGCCCACAGGCCAATGCTACTAACTGAGCCACTGTCGCCCCCTTTATCATTTCAATATACTGTGTGAAATCACATTAAAACATAGTAATTTAAATTATCAATTTGTTCCATGAAAAAAAAACATTTAATTCTTCCATCCATTTTCTTCCGCTTTGTCCGTTGCCAGGTCATGGGGGCAGCAGTCTAAGCAGGGACGCCCAAACTTTCCTGTCCACACACACTTCCTCCAGTCTTCCCCGGGGTCTCCTCCCGGTGAGATGTGCCTGGAACACCTCCCCAGGGAGGCATCCGTAACAGATGCCCAAGCCACCTCAACTGCTTCCTCTCGACAGGGAAAAACAGCGACTCTACTTCGAGCTCCTCCTGTGCGACTGAGCTCCTATATTTACGGGAGCACCACTTCTCGCTTGTATCCATCTGTGTAACGCAGCCAGGACAAAAACCACACTGTTCCTCCTGAATCTGGGATTCGACCCTAGGTTGGTATCTCCTCTTCAGTGCCTGTAGTAGACCTTACTGTGGAGGCTGAGATTCCTCGATACTAAGAACACACCCTCTAGATAATTAGAACACACTCTCCGTTTTACCCTAAAAGGTTAAAATAATTAGATTAATTACATGAAAAAGCGCACGCCTCCATCTCAGCATTTAATTGACTTGCGCTTGTTAATAAAAGGTTTAAACAGCGTTTCCAAAATGTGTGCGCTCTCCCCAGCCATAGAACTAAAGGCCGGGTGTGAATTTAAATGGCCATTGTAAATATTTATAGTTTAGCAGGAGTAAAATTATCCAGTCAGCAACAAAGCAGTGCCAAAACCAGGCAGACGGCCATGAACTGCACATCTGTTGTTGACTGAATTAGTGTGATAGTGAAGGTTCAGCACAGCCCATATGTTTCACTGTCACCTCACACAAACTCAGAACAAGGTCCTGTTTGAAAAACCCTCTCTGAATAATGCAACACAATCCCTGCGCCATGTCTGCATTGACCTGATCAAAGAAATGAAAACATGCATATTATTCAACAGTTTGGTCCACTTTGAGGAACACCTTTTTGAACCGAGCTAACTGGAGATTAGTATTTCCCATCTTTTCCAGAGAACGGCTTTAACTATTATGATACGTACGCACAGTCAGGAGGATAATCCCACAATAAAAACAGGGCAAAATCTCTTAAACATAACCCAGACAGACTTTAATACATTTATATTGTTTTCAGGCCCAATGCCCGCAATTCACTGTTTTGAGGATCACTTGAGTTTCTCCTGTGGCGTGGAGTTTGTGTTTTCCTGGGTGCTGATTGGTCAAAGGCAGTCCTCCAATCGTGCACGTTCATCTGGAGGATCCGCCCATATAACATACCAAACTTCCGCGGCTCGCCTTTACTCCCGTTCGCCAATATGTTTTTCTTTGTGTTTTGTCATTTCTGCCGGCACTTTAGAATAGTGACGTGTGTACTTTTTGAGCTTACACTTTTCGTTGTATCAATTTCTTACTAGTTTCACACATTGTTAATTTACTTTTTTTTTGCGTGTTTCGTAAATACATATATTTTTAACCTGTTTTATCTATTTTGTCATCTGATTAAATTATGATTTTAGTTACCATTACCTTATCTTACTTCCTTTACACCTAAGCTGAGCCTGGTCGAAACACAGGTGATTTCTACTGAGACCTTTCAGATTGTAAATGGAATCAAATGCAAAATAAGTATTCCCTGCATTTAGCTGCATTTGAAACCGTATGAATCGGTGATGGATGCCGCCTCATCAGTAAAACACACACTGAACACCTCTCAGACCTGTCAATTACAGAAGCTTTTGGCGACATCATTCACTTCACTCTCGTTTTGGTCAATGGAGGCTGTGAGTGGGATCTGATGACAGACTCTTCCTTGGGGTTATTCACATCTAATCAAGCAGAGAGACATGCAACAGTAAACCAAAGTGCTACAAATCCTTAAAGGGATCAATGGGACCTAATATCCTCCCCTAAGGCATGTGGTTTAGCTCTTTATCTCCAGTAAAAATAGACTTGACGGATGGGTTAGGTGGAAAAAAGAAAAGCCCCAAAAGCACACTCACACTAACACATATCTTCGCCGTCATAAGACATTCCAATGTTGTTTTTATTATAGTTTTTATGCGTTGGTATTCTAAAGAGGGCTGGTACAGTGGTTTTGTTTAAAATTGCATACAGTAGAGCTTTCACGGTTTCTTAAAGAGCGACTAAAACACCTGTAACCAGCCTTTCTCCGCCCACATTTAAAAATGTACTCTTATGGTGCGTTCAGACCAAACGCGATTTCTGCGGCCAAATCGCGTCTATCGCGCGGCTTGAGCCGCTTGTGACAAATTGTGGCAGCCGCTGTCACAGAGAAACTTGGCCGCGCGGCCAGGACACTAGAGGGCAGCCGCTGTCACAGAGCGTTGAGAGCGTCTAGGGGCGGGGCTTGTCTCTTTTGCCTGTAGCTTCCCAAAATGGATGTCAGCGAAGGAGTTGCTTTATCTGATAAATAAAGCCAGACACGTCGTCAAAGGGCGAATCGACGACGTGTCTGGATTCATCAGATAGTCCGTAGACGGTTGGAGTTTGGTGAGTTTCACCATTTGCTCCGGGAGCTGCGCTCGGATGAGGGTCGCTTTCAGCGGTACTTTCGTCTCTCCCTGGCCCAGTTTGACGACCTACTGACCCGCATTGGCGCTAGGATCTCCTACCAGGACTCCAACTACAGGCGCTCTATTCCAGCTGAAGAGCGCCTGTCCATCTGTCTGCGGTTAGTGTTTTTTACCCCATTCAGAATTCCTAAAAACTTACAAAGTGTGTCATTTTTCAATCACAATCCACAATGTAATTGCTCAGAAAACAGTATTATGCAACAATATGGTGTCTATGATTACTGTCTATGATGTTTACTGTCTACTAGTTTAACGTATTTTATGCTACACAAGTTTTGTCACGTGATTTTTATGAATGTAATTGTGATAAATATGTTCATATCATTTTGTAATTGCAGGTTTCTTGCCACTGGGGACTCCTACAGGACCATTGCGGGGAGCTTCAGAGCGGGCATATCCACCGTCTCCATGCTCATCCCAGATGTGGTGGCAGCCATCTGGGACTGCCTCGTGGAGGAGTTCATGGCTGTGCCTGGAGCAGAGGAGTGGAGGTCCGATGGAACTTCCCTCTGTGCTGTGGGGCCATTGATGGGAAGCATGTGGCTGTGAAGGCACCCCCCAACTCTGGGTCCATGTTTTTTAATTATAAGGGGCACCATTCCCTTGTGCTCCTGGCTGTAGTGGATGCCCAGTACAGGTTCAGGGTGATTGATGTGGGAGGGTACGGCAGATCCAGCGATGGAGGCATCGTGTCCAACTCTGCCTTTGGTGAGGCTCTGCGCGAGGGCACACTCGACCTGCCTCCTGACCAGTGCATACCTGGAGCTGACCACAGAGGACCCCAGCCCCATGTGTTCGTGGCAGATGAGGCCTTTTCACTGCGCTGCAATTTAATGCGCCCTGCCCATCTCCAGGATGAGGATGAGGATGGCTGGAGATGGGCAGGTTCCTGCACCGAGGGGAGTGCTGCCGGTGAAGAACCACTTCCAGGCGTGCAGCGGATGGCCGCCTGGAAGCCAGCAGTGGACATAAGGAAAGTGTTCATGGCCCACTTCAGTGAGGAGGGAGCACTGCCGTGGCAGCCCACAGAGTAGTCATGTCCACCACAAGACTGACCCACATCTGGCCATAGTCCAAACCCATATTGATTTGCACTATTCTATTCACCTGTATACCTTCTGTTTCTAGGTAATGACTGCCAGACTCCACTGCGACTCCACTCCAACTTCAGGTTAATCATATGCACATTCAAGCTTTTCCATAATTACAAGGTTGTTAAAACAGTAAAAGGTGAAATGAATAAAAAATACTGTCAACTACTGTATCGCTCTTTAAGTGTTTGTTATTCCATCTTCTATAAAACCCAGTCAGCTCTTATAAAAGTAAATGTACAAATATAGAATAGCATTTTCTGTCAATATTATATGAAAGGTAGTAATGGTTGGCTTGAAGTAGAACACATGAGGTTTGAAAAATATTTTCTTTATAAAAAAAGGAACAAACAATGAAAAATAAATGAAATGTACATATAAACAAATGAAAAGGAGCTTGCTTGGAGGAGGTGCGGTGGAAGAGGAAAGGGACACATGTCTGTTTCCTCCCCTGCAAAAGGTGTCACCTTAGGTCAAAAAACTGTCTGTTCTGGCCAATGGTTCCAAATTAAGCAGAACGGTGCTGCTTTCATATAGAAGTTGATACATTTTGAATTTAACAAATTCTCTTGACTCTGGTGCCACCCTTTGCAGGAGAGGAACGAGAGAGAGCAGGAACTGATGTTCTTCTGAGTTGTGGGGCGGTGCGGCTGCTTTGGTCCGTAGAGTCTCCAGCAGCTCCCGCTCCCACTCTGAAGGCGGCTCTACGGACGTGGGCCTCTTCCGAGCCCTCTTCCTTGGTGGGCCTTCAAAGAACACAGGGCAATCACAGTGTTAAAAAGTGGAACATGTATTTCAAAAAAGCAAAATGAAGAGAGCAAATAATATCTGTATTAAAGCCAGAGTGTGTAGACATAGTTAAACACATGTAAAACACTTTTAAGTTGTGTGTTTGTTACAATTAACTTGAACATTGCAGTTATCAATGAAATTACTCACACATGCACAAATTTCGACAGTTACAAACTAATATCTCTGAAGTGTATTTCGCAATGAAATTTGAAATTGGCTGTAAAAAAGTAATACTCTATTGTCTGCATTAAACAGGATAGCTGCCATCTTGTGGCAACCATTGCATGTATTTGTTCAGTACTTTTATAGCATAAGGTATTTCAGTAGTATGTTTTTATCAAAGAAAGAGGGAAGATGTGTTGTATCAGACCAAAGCTTCTTTCCACCTGTAGTGCCTTGACATCTTGTCGTTTCTCTGTAAATTTGTCGTCTACACTGATGTAACAGCCCTTGGGTAATTTTGGCATATTATGCAGTAACATTTTGTTTATATGAACAGTCCTGTAATAAGAATAAAAATAAAACAATGATTAAAAAAAGCCACACCTGTAGGTGCAGAAGCAGGGGAAGGTCCAGCCCTCACAGAAGAAGAACCGGCTGAGGAAGCAGCAGCAGCAGCAGCAGCAGCTCAGGCCAAGATGTCTCACCTTGTGTGGTGGTGGCAGTATCTGCGCCAGAAGAAAACAAGAAATACAATTATTTCATATCATGTGTACATTGCGCTTATGACATTTATATGTACATAATAATGTACATTATTATGTACATTTAAATGATTTGTTCATATAAAAGGGAAAAGTGAAATTTAACACAACACATGATCAAGATCTATCCTGGTTTGAAAATAGCCAATGCCTATTTTTCACCTGGCCATGATGTTAAGAAAGCATTAAAAGAAATGCATACACAGAAAGCAATATAAATGTAAAAGTCAGCAAAATGTGGGTAATAGAAAGGAAAGAAATGTATTTTTTCCAACTGTTCGAGGTCTCCGTTTGCTGCATGACACCGACCTTCAGCACCTCATATGTGTCCCTCAGATTCTTCCACCGCTTTTTGCAAACTTCCACTGAATAAACACATCAACTCGTAAGCAGGAAAGTAGTAGTTTTTTTCGCGGGGAAATATTTACAACATTGAAAAGTTAAAATAACTTACCCGAGACACCAACCACCTCGCTAACCCTCCTCCAAGCAAGCTTCTTTTTATTTCGGTCCCGGTAGCTGTGGTCCGCAGTGTTATATAGCTCAGAATGAGCACCGACCTGAGCAATTGACGTGTCCTCCATAGCTGTCATCTACCAGTGTTTTTCCGGTAGTGAAATGCGTCACTACGTCACTGGAGGAGAAAGCTCCTGATTGGTCGGCACACGCGAATTCTCCCAAAAAGTTCAACATTGTTCAACTCTAGCGGCGGCCGCGTTGGAGGCACGAATCGCGCGAAACGCGCGTCAAAACGCTTGACATCTCAAAACACGCCGCGCGAATCGCGCGAAACGCTCGAATTCGCGCCGCTCTGGCCGCGCGAATCGCGCCGCGTGATCTCTCGCCGCTCCTTGGCGCGCGTCCCCCATGTTGTGTCAATGTAGACCCGCCGCTTTGGCCGCAGAAATCGCGTTTGGTCTGAACGCACCATTAGGCTGTATCCGAATGTCCACACTATACCCTATCCACTCACTCACTATATAGTTCGGGACTATATAGCGACTGAGTGAGTGAGTCAGTGCACTCATTCTGTTGGCGATTCGGACAGCTGCACACTATTTTTAGCCGCGGCCCACATCACACCCCTGTCACATGTCATTGGATCAATATAATTTTATATATAAATAAAAGTATATTAAAATATCAATATTTGTCTAATATACATGTATAAAATGTTTTTACAATTTATATTCATATTTATTAATTTTGGTTGACTTATTCGCTTAACGTCTTTCATATTTTCGCCACCTGACCGGCTCCTCTAACACTGGTGAAATGGCACCTCCACTGAATTTTGCGGTGTTTTTGTTAACAATTATAAAACTTCTCATAATGCGAATTAAAAACCGCCGAACAGAGAGAAGGCGAAGACAGGCGATGAGGCGGAAGAGGAGAATGGCTCTTCTTTCATTAGCAAGGCGTCGTATAAGTATTGTATTCGTCCTTTGTCTATATAGCATTAGCACCATCTACTGGGTAAATTATAGTACTTTTGGTGTACTTACTAATTAAAAATACTATTCTCAGTCAATGAGAAACACATTAGTCATATACATTTAGACATATTTCAACAAGAAAACACATTGTATAGACACACTCACTTTAAATGCAAGAACATTAAAATATTTTATTGGTTGAAAGAACACAAAACCATAGCAAGGGAAATGGATTAAGTACTCATTTTTTTCTAAATGAAAAATGAGTACTTAATCATTAAACAATAATAGAATTTGCTTGGCCATGGGGCACAGGGCTTCTGTGATTTTTTTGTGTGTTATTAGGTGCGAGTGATGTAGTGAGGGTTTCTACTTCAGTTGTCTCAGGGCAGCTCCAGCTCCCTGCAACACACAATACATTTGGCAAAATCAATGCCAGGGCACAAAAGAACATGACTTCAGCTATATACTCTTCATTTTTATTTACATTTTTAAATCTCAAAATGAAAAATGAGTACTTATTCCTGTGTCTGCACTCATAACTAAAAGTGCAGATACAGAATTAAATCATGAATCTAGAAGCACCATATTAAGTTTAAGAGAATTTTTTTTTTTTTTTTAGGGTGAACCACCGGTGTACTGCCGACTGAACCACCATGTACCCCTAGTCAGCATGTACTTAAATGGCCAGTCTGACCTTCGCCCCGATTTTCGCCTCACTCGAACCACCATCACCCGTCTGGTTAGCCACCTGAGGAGTGCTCATCACCAGGGCTGGAGCCAGGACATGGAGGTTCTGGTCTTCCTCTTTTGGTTGGCCAGTGGCACCGCGTACCGTGTTGTCGCCAGGGCATTTGACATGCCCCAGTCCACAGTCCACGATGTGATCCACAGGGTGGCCAACCAGATCCTTCAAATGCGTGGCCAAATAATTCATTTCCCTTCCCTGGAGGAACTTCCCCAAGTTGCAGCTGGGTTTCAGCTGCTGGCTGGATCAGCTGCTCTCAATAATGTTGTGGGGAGCATCGACGGCTGCCACATTAGAATAAAGCTCCTTCAAGAAAATGCACAGTGTTATTTTAACAGGAAATTGTTTTATTCTATTCAAATGCAGGCTGTGTGTAATCACCGTGGCTTATTTATTGATTTGTTTGTTGGCTACCCCGGATCTGTGCACGATTCTCGAGTGCTTAAAAACAGCCCCCTCTACGTCCACCGGCTCTATCCCCCAAATGGACACGTCCTCCTTGGGGATGGTGGTTACCCTTGCCTCCGTCAGCCCATCACACTCCTCCCTCCATACAGAGAGCCTGTTCGGAGCCCAGTGGAAGCCCGCTTCAACCGGCACCATGCACGGGCACGATCTGTAACAGAAAGAGCGTTTGACATGATGAAGGCAAGATGGCGATCAATTTTTTTCCAAGGCACTGGAAGTCCAACCCACCTTTGCAGTCCAGGTGACTGCCTGTTGCGCCATCCTGCACAACATCTGCATCAGCGATGGTGATCTCTAGAAGCCAGTGGAAGAGGAGCCAGGGCCTGATGATGAGCAGGACCAGCATCAGCAGCACCAGCCTGATCAGCAGTGTGGACAGGAGCTGTGTGGACGGATGGCAGCAGCACTTTCCACCCCAAGGGCCAGGCTACCAGCTCTTCGGGACCACGGCTATTAATTAAATGTTTGAATAATCTGTGTTTTGGCCCATTTAAATAAAAACAAAAACAATTGAATATGTCACAAATTAGCTTCAAAGAAACAAACCTTGTAGGTCTTTTTCAGGTTCTCCCACTTCTTGGCCGCTCTGGCAGGGCTGATCAGGCGGCTCAGCCCCATTTCCTTTATTACTGCCCTAAAGTAACGATACATAAAAACATTTGAATATGAGTAGACGTTTTTTGAATAAGTATTTATTCATAATGGTCATACTCCCATCCAGCCGCCGAAGCAAATTTTTCACCCGCAGTCAGATGAGTCTCTCCACATCAGTGTCTGTCCCTTTAAAAAACATTAAACACACAATAAATGCTATACATATAACACAAGTGCTTTAATAACATTAATGACTGACCACCAGTGACCCGTTTCTGTAGCGTTCGCTTTAGATGTTA